AAATATCCAGCAAGTAGTAGAACTTATATTACAGAAAGTCAACTATACAGATACAACTTGACATAAGGTTGCAGGTCACATGATAATTATAGTTTTTTTTTTTCTCAAGTTCTCTTACCTGTTCACTGCTAAATAGAAAACTGTTCAATTTTGCTTGGGAACTTTGTGCTCAGGTAAATGCTCATAACGATGCGCTTGCCCCTGTTTTCGCTGTAGATCACTGACCTTGACCATGCAGATCTCCTCAGCATCAACCACCTGGTCTCTCTCCTGTTCCTCACTCACTCTCTTAAAAAATCTTCGTATATCCATCTAGCCAACACATTGAAAAACATTTTCAATTTCTAACGCCAAAAAAAATGCTACTAAGCCATTTAGTTTTCACTCACAATAATTGAAACAGCCATTGGTGGATAAATGGGACAGAATATGGACAACTGTTAGCCTAATATAGCCAATGTTTGGTTGCTCATGATGATGGCATTTTCCATAATGTCACATTAAGCTGCCAAAATTTATGTTAAAGTTAGATGAGTACAATATCTCCTTTCTTTCCCATAGTTAAACATAGGAAATATTAAGCAATTGACAACCCACATGGAAAGAATTCATATAAACATATAGGTTTTAATATATGTTTTGATGTAGCTTTTGAATATATGTGACATTATAAAACTGGCTGTTTACTATATTATAGATACATATATGTACCTATAATATAATATATAATATAGAAAAAATATATAATATAGAAAAATGGTCAATAATATACATATTCGGCCATATTCTGATTCAGGTTTTTAGTGTGGAGTGATTTTTGTGCCACCAACTGGAGCGTGCAGTGATAAATCTGCAAGAGCACAACATGCTCTGCAGTCGTATGCGGCCCTCTCTCTGCATGCTCAACTCCGTCTCTGCCTGCACAAATCTCCCTGTTGTTGCTCAATTTGCAATTTACAAAGCAATGTAGTCTCTCCATCAGCCAATCAGACAGCTCTCCATTATGCAATCAAAGCATGTCCAGGAAATACTGCCAGGAAAATTGCACTTTTTTCAGATAAAGAGGACTTTATATAATTATATTTAATTAGGTTGATTAACCCTCCTCTTTTCCTGGGACATTTCCACTGTTCACTTCCTTTTACACATCAAGGGATCATTTATGTCTGACCAAACAGAGAAGAAACACTTTATATGTTGAAATTAAAAGTCCTCTTTAACTGAAAATAGTGCAATTTAACAGTTTTAGGAATGGGCAATGTGTCTTTTCTGGAAGTCAAATATGGTCACCCTAATCATGACACATGAATTACAACAAAGTATTTTGCAGGCAGTGGATGGTGACTGGTAGCTAACCAGCAGCAGAAAGCAGTTCAATAAGCTGTTAAATTTGTGTTTTTCTGTAAAGCTGTATTTCCTGGACATGCTTTGATTGGATAAAACAGAGCTGTCTGTGATTGACAGTTGGAGAGGCTACTTGTTGAGGAGAGCAGGGAGAGATTTGCATCGCAGAGACAGAGTTGAGCCCACAGAGGGCTGCAGCTCCTGCACACAAGCGCAGAGCAGGTTCTGTTTGTGCAGACTCATTACTGTACGCTCAAGTTGGTGGCACTAAGTCACTCAATGAACTGGCTGGCTCGTTAATCACGTCACTTCAGGGGAGTTTTCCGACCATTTAACTATGGCGCGGCTTTTCATTATGGTTTGCGGCATGTAAACATGCTAGCGGAGTTAGCATTAGCATGTCGGTGCGGTAGCATTTTCCTCTCTCGTCTGAACTATAACCTTGAAATATTAACGGTGTGCTGCTGTTGCTGTCTTACCCTAATGTGATGTTGAGTGACTTACAAGAGCGCTGAGCAGGGTTTGCTCATCGATATATAGGTTTTGCTGTATCACCCCTGCCCCTGACTTGTCAACAAAGCTGCGGGCTTAAGGAAGTGGAGGAAGTCCTTTCTTGATATTTCCTGTGTGCGACGGTGTAGTTCTATATTCATTAATTATTATTTCTGTTTCAGACTAAAGAAAACTCATGTACCAACTACACGTGTCGTGATTGTGTTGAGCATGTAGATGTGAACAAATAAAAAAAAGTTAACTGAAAAAATAAAATAAACCAAAATGATAGGGGGGCGTGTGATTATTTTAGGGGGGCTGAAGCCCCCCTAAAACGGACCTAACGACGTCAGCGGTCGAATGAAAAGATGACAGATTTACCAAACACCACCAAAACCACGCCTCCATCAGATCTGGCAGATTCTGATTGGATCAGTAAAAGCAATGTGTCATGTCTTAACGCTATGTGAGATCAGTTCTAGTGGAAAAATTTAAAGTCATACTACTTATTATATTCTATAGGATTATAATAAAGTAATTAATATTTTGGATTTCACAGATTGGTCACATCTTATTATTGACTAACACTTTGTTTGATTAGCTTTATTAAAAATAGAGTTCTTTGATTTATTAAAAAGAAAGAGTCCTTTTCTTCATTCTTCTCTTGGGCTGGAAAGGAAGCAATTTAGAGCAAATGCATGAGACCTTGAGGCAATATCTCATGCAGATTGGTTCTGTGTCAGAGGAGAGGGGGGAAATGACTTTTAGGTGGAAAACAGTCATTTCATTCCGTTACATTATGGAACGTCTCTAAAAGTTGGATAAAACATTTAAAACCATTTAAGTAAAACAGAAAATTCAACCATGCTTCTGTTTTACACATTAAATAACATATTTAACTTTTTTAAATAAATTTTTTAATCCTTGTCTACTATGTGCAGTGTTGTTCTCATGACGGTATAGGAACTGGCACCGTTGCTATTATTTAACACTGGCTGTATACGGTAATACTGCTCAAGCCTAGTTCGGACATTGTATTACACAAACCGAGTGGATCTCTTTTAACATAACACAAATTATTATGACCATTTGAATTTACACTTTTGACTTCATGAAATTAGATTGTGTTTGTTTTGCTGCTGAGTTAGCGGGTTGTTCCTTGAGTTTTTGTAGGTAGATTAATGGTACTTATATTGTTGCAAAGAGGATAGTGTGGGCTTTAAATCAACCCAACTACAACAAATTACCAAAACAACATAAAAAAAACCAACTACACCCCTTCTGAACTGGGTCAGTTGAGGGAATATTGGGGGAAAATACCAAACTGTGCTGTTGGGACAAGGCTGTCAATCCAAACCACACCCATCTGAGCCAAGCTGAGCACTGCTGTTGGCCACAAATCACTCCAATGACACCAAATATACAGATACTGGTTTGTTTATGCAGGAGGTTTTCTGACCTAAAGCAGAAAAATGCCTAAATGACACTTGACCCCTCAGTACAGTTTCTGTGCTAAGAAAGAGAAAACAAAAGAACAGAAAACCTGAAGGAAATATTTAAAGAAGGAGAGAAGACAAGAAAAACTGGTTTGCTGTAGTGAGAGCCAACATCTATTCAGGTAAAACCTGAACTACTGTAGTGTTTAATTGTGTTTTCCACTTCATTAAATACATAAACTCAGCTTTTTAGCAATATTATCTCCAAATAAACTGGACCACTAATCCCAGCTGACTCCTTGTTCACTGCATTCCAACAACTATTAGCACAACCTGGCGAAGCAGTTTCTGGTTTTTAAAGGATTTGTGGCGGGTTGGCACGAGTGTTCACTGAATCTGTTTCACATGCAAAAACAGCACCAACCCGTCCAGCTTCTTCACGGGGACATCAGAGACTCAAATCAGAAGTCTTTCAGCTGAAAATCATTCTGTAACATTACATCACACACAATGATACAAGGCTGATGTAACAAACACGCACGCACACACACACACACACACGTCTGTCTTTCTATCATAGTGTGGACCCTTCATTGACTTCCATTCATTTTTGTGATGTCACCATGCCTAACCCATACCCCAACCCTAACCAACGCTGATCTATTTCTTAAGGTTGGTTTATGCTTGACGCGTCCGCGAGGTTCGCACAGATCCGTGCGGCAAACTTGCATCATTTTAACAACCACGCCCCTCCACCGCGCCTCCGCACCGCGCACCTAGGAAATTTTCTAAACACGCGGACGGTCAAACACGTAAAACATGGCGGACTGGCAAGAACTAGTTATGGCGGAGTTCGCAAATACAGACATTTATATGATTCAGCTCTCAAAGATCACCATGATCAACATGTTATTAATTCTTAGAGAGAAATAGCTCGCACTGTCGGAAAAGACGAGGACGCTGTTAAAAATGCTGAAATGCCATGTTGTAAACAACAGTAATTTTTACTTCTACTATGGTGTAGTGTTGAATGCATGCTGTAGAGCTCCATGCTGCCCCCTACAGTTTGGGAGAATATTGGCTCACCGCAGAGACGAGCCGCATGAACCATAAACGCTGCAAGTTGTGAAGCACGTTCCATCCGCGAGCCGCATCACCAAGCGGAAAGTAAATGCGTCAAGCATAAACCAAGTTTAACACACACACACACACACACACACACACACACACACACACACACACACACACACACACACACACACACACACACACACACACACACACACACACAGAGTAATACGGGACTGATGTAAAACACCCACACACACACACAAACACACAGTAATACGGGACTGATGTAAAACACATACACACACACACACACAGTGATACGGGGCTGATGTAATATACACACACACAGTAATACGGGACTGATGTAAAACACACACACACACACAGTGATGGGGCTGATGTAACAAACACACACAAGCACGCACACGCACGCACACACACACAGTGAAACGGGACTGATGTAAAACACACACACACACACACTAACATAACCTACAACGGGAAAAGGCGGCGCAGCTGCAGAATAAGTTCGAACCTCTACATCGTGCCTGAGCTGCGAACTAAACTCACATCAAATAAGAAGATGCAGGAAGCACGTTAGGCCGCAGCATCCCACCGCCCAGCTGCTGCACCATCACCGCCATCCACGGGACTCACCCAGGGTTTTGACTGCGATCTGCCGCGTCAGAGGCGGCGGAAGGTTGATGCAGACCAGATCCACATCCTGATGTAGCAGAACGTCATCGATCCGGTTGGTGTAAAACGGAACGTTCATCTCTTTAGCCAGCTCCTCCGCCTCCTCCTGCGTGCGTCCCCACAGCGCCTTGACGGCGAAGCCCTCGTTCTTCAGCAGCGGGATGATCACCCTGGCCGTCAAGCTGGTGCCAAACACGCCGACTCCGGGAAGCATGGTTCGGGTTTGTGTGCCTTACTCCGAATTTAGAGAGTTCGCTGCCCCGGATGAAGCCAGAGGAGGAAAGCTGCGGCTGACGGTCAGGTCGGCCATCCACCTGCAGCAACCCACCCGCTGCTTTCGCTCCCCCTCAAAACTAACCCCCAAAATGCGGTAAGTCATCCACTTTCAGCAAATGAAACAATTAATGCTCAGTTTCGGTCCTAAGCACGTAAACGTCTCCCAATCACCCGCGCAACAAGAACAGTACGCAGCGAAGGACATTCATCCACTAGCAGCATCCTCACATCTGAGAAGCGCACCGGCGAGAGAGAATAAATCCAAATTCCGGTCTCCTCCAGCCAAAGGCTGGCCCAGAGGTCCCCGTCTCTAGCTAGCTCCCCGGAGGCTCACACCTCAGCGGACCGCCGGCACTTCCGAGCTGATGCTGCGGCTGCAGACACGCACAGTTCACGCAGCAGCTGCACACCGACACGGAAGCCCGTCTCACTTCCTGTCAAAATAAGAGCCGAGTAGAAAAAGCTGCATTCACAACAAGAGCCCAGGGGCGTTTACGGCACGCGGTGTAAAGGAAAACCGTTGCCCTCTTGTGGTTGTTTGTGACTTTAAAACAAGAGTGTTTCTATTAACGAGGAAATAGACAGGGCGCCCGTCGTTTGTTGATAGCCGTTTTAACATTTAATCAACAGTTGGACCTCTCTTCAATTCCTATTTTGTGTAGCAATAATATAATTCATCCTAGTACTAATTGTATTTATACTAGTCAAAATTGCAAATGAAGATATCAACAGCTATTTGTTACTATAGAATTTATAATTAAGGATATCCATAATAACAACTGCACTAGTAGGAATTAAGATTGAGATGTCTCAAAATTCTTATAAAATTAAGGTGGCCGTTTGAACATTTATTAAGCAGACTGGATATGTAATCCAGATATCTATAATTATATTGTTCCTATTATAAATTAACATTCCAGATATCCATAGTAACATTACTACTACTTAGAAAGAACATTTCAGATATCTGAAATGTAATTCTTCCTAGGGCAACTTAGGTCACATTTCCCATTCATGTGTATTGGGTTTGCAGTGGCTCCTATCCACAATCACTTTCTTCCTGTCAACAATGAACATGGTGGATAGGAGAAACTGAATTCTTCCTAGGAGAATCTCTCATTTCAGATAGCTGTAATTCAGCGGTTACTACACACTTAAAACTGCTGGGTTAAAAATAACCCAACTTGGGTTATTTTGTAACCCAGGCGCTGGGTCAAAAATGGACCGACCCAACGCTGGGTTGTATTAACCAAGCAGGGTTGGGTTATGGGTTTGACCCAGCATATTGGGTTATGTTTTCTACCCAACTTATGGGTTAAAATGACCCAACTGTATAATTAGGGTAACCCAAAACTGGGTTAAAAAGAAAACCCAACTTCTGGGTTATTTAATAACTAAAGATTGGGTTAAAATGACCCAATTCTAGAATATAGGGTTATATGAAAAAAATAAAATAAAATGCTTAATGAATAACTTAGTACACAAAATGAACATGTCTCAGTCAATTCTTTATTGACCACATAAGTTTTTTCATTTTTAAAATGCATAACAATATTAATACAACTGAAGAGTATTTAAAAACATTTATGGTCCCGCTCATTTTTTGTAAAACTCTGCTTATTGCATTTGTGTAAATGTGTTTTAATGACAAATATTAAAATATTAGACACCTGAAGATCATGAACATTTTCAACCCAATGCTAATGGAAGAACTGTACTTACGTAAATGTCCAAAAACATGTAACTCATCCCCATGCTAGCAAAACATCAACTTTAAATCATAGCCAACTGAGCCCTCATTAGCTTTACAGCATTTGATTCATGCCCAGGCATTTCAAAGATGACCGTTTGAATGAACTCCCAAACTTGGGCACATGGTTTTGGGTAATTCACATCAAACACAAAAAATGTTTTAAAACAGCCATCAACTGCACCCAAAAGTGAGGGATATTCCATGGCAGTCCCATTGAGGATAACGAATGCTTGGGAACATCGATGGCCTTCACCAAGCATAAGAACATGTGGGTCGTCTGTTGTGGCCCCGGTCAGGTACTCCACCATGTTGGTTCCAGTCCTAAAGTAAGGGGAATTGAAGAAAAAAAAGAGAAAGAAAGGGAAAAAAATTAAGGCATGAAAAAGATATGGTTTCATACAAGTTGTGGAAGCATATTTGGAGTTGGCTGTAAATAATAGTGGTGCAACTGTACAGATAGCCCACGGTACGGTCTGTAGTACGGTTTTTAGACCACGGTCTCAGTATGGTTTTGGCATACGTTTTGTGCAGAAAGGCTGCTGTTTGTTATCCCAAGTTGTTACACAAGTAGCGGGAGGTATTGCACAGACCTCAGCATAAAGAGCCCCTGCTGCTAGTGGGGATGCTATGCATAGTAGGCCTAACTTCCTGAGCCTCATCATGTCTAACAAACAAAGGGAGGGTGGTCAAATAGTAAAACACTGTCTGGAGCACAGATAGTTGTGTCACAGATTTTCTGTTCCATTATATCTAATGAAGTAGATTGATGCTGGGAAGCTAAGTAGCTAGCTAGCTACTCGAAGCTATATTCGGTTGAAAAGCTATTGTAGGCTTAAAATCTCTTTGTTTACTGCATTACCTGCCTTCAACTGCTTTACCAGAACACATTTTCAAACTCCATCATCAACATCTTACCTTATTTTTAAACCTTGCTGGTGTGAAGGTCCAGGTGGAAATGAGGCAAGTCCTTGTCATCCTCCACTTTAAAATGGTGAAGCTGGCACAGACGAGGGGGAGGATCCTTCTTTTTACCGCCCTTTTTAACCCAACATGCTGGGTCAAAATGTTTGACCCAATGTTGTATTAAATCTACCCAACTGCTTAAAAATCAGCCTTAACCCAGCAGTTGGGTTAGCAAAATAACCCAGCATTTTTAAGAGTGTAGTCAAAACTCTTATTTCAGATAGGTAGAATTAAAACTCTATACCTGCTGTCTGTAATTTTATTTCTGATATTCAAAATTACATTTATCCTGGTACTATTTAAAATTTAGATAGGCAGAACTACAATCTTCCCCGGAACAAATAACTTCTTGCTATCTGTTTTGAAATTGTTGACGTCTTATTTAATTACTCCTATATGGAATGTTGTTTTAGAGGGCACGGAATTGTAATCCACAACAGTAAACGTCACCATAAATTGGTGCGTGTAATATGCATTGTCACATATCTAACAGGAAGTGGTAATCCCAGACAGCAAGAAGGAAGTGTGTTTTTTTTTAGCGGGACCTGGCCGTGAAAATAGATGCTAATAGGCAAAGAAGCTCTACATTTTCTCGGGTTTTCAATGCAGTTTCCCGTGCAAGACAAGAGCTGGCAAATCCAGATGATTTCCTTACTGCAACGTGAAGACTTTTCAGACGTCGTCCCAGGACACAGGGTAAGCTAGTACAAAACTGAATGCACGTTAGCATTGCATTACATTTGTTCCCCTAAGCTCTGCAATGCTGCTGCTTTGGGCCCTGGCAAGATGGGCAGGGGTCTCCATGCCCTGGGTGGCATTTTGACAACAGAGGTGCCTATTGGGGCCAGTGGGGGAGCTGGCTCCCTGGAGGGCTAAACCCATCCAGCCATTCCTCCCCATCCCCACATATTCTTCTCCTCCTGCTCCCTCACATCATCACACAAACATACACATAGGACCTTGGGGGTGGACAAGTCAGGGAGTGTGGGTATGGGCCCAATTTCCGCATTCCTGTGGCAACCTGCCCCCCAATTTTATTTGCACCTTAAACACTTCCACCAACGACATTCCACACAAACACACACTAAGGGCCTTGGGAGTGAGCACATTCAACGGCACTAAGCAGGGGGATTTTTCAGCCTCATCCCAAGTGCCGGTGCCCACTTCCAATTTTAAACTGCACTTAGACACTGAGGGCTGAGGGTGCATTTGGGGCGGTTTGGTGGCATCAGCTGGCATAGGCCAGACAATGCCCACACTGCCCGCTCACCACAGCCATGGAATACACCTCGTCAACACACAGCAACACTATATTGGAGCAGGCGGAGGGAGACTAGGGGTCTTAGCACACCTCTGTTGTTGCTTGGCTTCCTGGGGCTGGAGGCTAGGAGGGAGATCTGTCCGTCTGGTTGGGGTCTGGGGTGGTGGGTTGCTGTGCTCAGCGCTGGGTGGGGGAGCCTGCTCATCAGCACCCCAGCAAACAGGGTCAAACTCTGGGAACCGGTAATGGTTGTACCCCAAATGCAGCAGTACTGGGACCAGGGTGAATAGGGTGTGTAAGGGGAGCATGAGTGGGTGTCCAGCATGCATTTTTGTAAGTCTTTGGTTGTATGTGTATGTGTGAGCATGAGGGAGGGCGTGTGTGACTGTGTTTGTGTATGACTGTATATGTCAGGTGGGGCCTTTGACTCCTCCCTTCTCCTGGGACTTCATTTGATGATATAGATGTCGTCTCCCCTCCCCCTGCCCCACCTGGTGTGGAGTGCGGTGCCTTGGTCTGCCTGGGTCGTGGCTCCCGGGTCAGGGGGTTTAAGATTTTTGGCGTCTGCCTGATCAATCCTGGTGGCTGCCTGGTGGGGTCTGGGTCCCTGGGCTCTGCTGGGTCCCCGGCGGGGGTGGTCGCCCCTGGGTCCCGGGTCGCTGGGTCCCGGGCTCGGCCGGCTAGGGGGTGGGAGGCTGCGGGTGGGGTCTGTGGGCTTGCTGCTGATATCTCCCGGGACTCTGCCGGCTGCTGGTTGTGGCCCCCCAGGGCAATCCTCTGCGCCTCTCGAGAGGGAGCTGGGGCTTTTCTGGTTGCAGTCTCCTTGGGGTTCCTGTGTTCTGGGGCAGCGCCTGGATCTCTGGGACTTGGAGCGCCCTCCGTCTCCTACACATCTTTGGGGGGCAGATCTGTTGCCCCTCACACTCTCTATTGGACGCTTTTATAGAGAAACCTTACATAAACAAGCGCGTGTACACACACAGGTGCTCACATGGTGCTCTCATAAGTATGGACTTGGCCACGTTCAACACAGGTCTTAAGGCTATGGTGGGCACTTAATGCACTGTGATTTATTATCGTGTGATTGTTCAGTAAAACAATGTTGATTGTATATTTCTTCAAGTTGATGCAGTGGTAGCTTGCTCCTGTTGTACTGTTGTGTCCCTTTTTTCTCTTCTTTCTCTTTTTGCAGGTCTAGAAGCAGACTCTTGTTCATTATTGTTTATTTTTGTGGAACCCCCCCCCCCCCCTCCCCACCTTTTGTCTTTTCCTTTCTCTTTCACCTCTGACTCCGTGTCTGGTTGGAATTACAAAGCATTCAAAAACAATAACAATAAAGTTTTGAGTATCAGGCGTGACATTAAAAGCAGACGCTTTGATGCTCCACCTGAGAATAAATCTGTAAGACTTGTCACCAGCATTCAGACATCAATTCTGCTTGCTTCACAGCCAGACAGGACACGGGGAAATAAATAAACATTTGTTCCCCTAAAGCGGTTGAATGAAATTTGTTTAAGAATAAAAACTCAACAAAGCCAATTTTAATTTGTTTGTGAGGGGAAAACAATAAATTTACTTGATTTTGTTATAACACACACATATAGACATTGTCTTGTAGCCGAAGGTGAAAGTATTTCCCCCTGCTTACTCACTAGTACACTATTGCGGTGTGCATGAATAAATATAAGTGCTCTGTGGTGAGCAGTGGTTGGCGGTAATTTGCTATGTTGGCTGAATATTGCTTGTTATGAAACTTTTTTTTCAACAGGTATCATGCCAATAGTCTCCCCTGCGTCGTGTGCCAACCAGAAAAGTTTCCGTAAACTGTGCCTAGATTCCTGCTAACTAGAAGTGTAATTATGTTTTATTTTGACAAAAAAAAAAGAATGAAAAAAAGAAAGAGGCGTGTTGTTACGTTATCGTTCAGTTTGTGGTTGACATCAGAAGATGACACATTTATTGTTCCGATGTGTATCACACGTGATGGTTAATCAAGCTGAACGTTCCTGACATGAGGACAATTTTAATTGATGATTGTTGCTCATCTCCATGAATTGGAGAGAAAAACACACTTTTAACAGCTGTCTACGTTATCCTAGTTGTTATGGAAAAATTTATGTTTGTTAATTCTTCATCATGGACTCCACCAACTGGACGTAATATGTACTGCTCTATGCCTCTCTGCATGCTCACACACACACACACACACACACACACACACACACACACACACACACACACACACACACACACACACACACACACACACACACACACACATTCTTGCCCCACTCATACACACACAAGCTCTCTCTCTCTCTCTCTCACTTTCACATCTCTATAATTAAACTCTGTGAACAGATGTTTGGGCCATTTGCCTTGTGCATTATGCCACAGTTATAACTGTTTGACTTGTCTCCTTCTCTCCTCACTATAGGAAATGGGGTTATTGATAAACATATTGATAAAATCGATGACAAAGGCCTAGAACAAAATGCCACTGCCACCCCCCCCCCCCCCCAAAAAAAAAACTGCAAAAATAAAATTGTGGAAATGCCATGTAGATGACATTCTAGAAATCATACCAAAAGGACAAACAGAAACACTAAACACAACACTGGAATAACATTGACGACCCAGGCAACATAAAGTTCACCAATGAGTCAGAAACAGAAGGCAGTATAGCATTTATGGACATGAGAATAACCAGGCAGACCGACGGGACCCTAAACATAAACACATATAGGAAACCAACACACACAGACCAATATCTATTATGGACATCAGAACACCCCACCATACACAAAATGTCAGTAATCAGAACACTATATCACCAAGCAAACATGATAACAGAAGAAAGAGACCGTAAACAAGAGGACAAACACATACAACATGCTTTAAAGACCTGCGGATACCCGACATGGGCAATAAACAAAAGAACAACCTAAGCAAAGAACCAGAAAGACAAGAACCAAACCCAGTGATAACCCTACCATACATCAAAGGCATAACAGAAAAAATAAGAGCAACAATGAAGAAACACAACATAAACACACCAATAAAACCATACATGACAGAAACAGACTACTACACCCAAAAGACAAGATACCAGCTGGACTTAAATGTGGAGTCGTTTACTAAATCTCATGCAAACTCTGCAATAAAACGTACATAGGAGAAACCGGACGCCAACTCAACTCAACACACGAACAATAGAACACAGAAAGGAGTGCGAGAAAGAAACAAGTCGAAAACACATAAGAGCAGCAAAAGAAGAAGCAGAAAGCACAATAAAGAAGTCAGCCGTAACAGATCACTGCATAAGAGAAAACCATATAATGGACTGGGACAACACAAGGATCATAAACACAGAACAACAGAAATACAAAAGATGGATAAAGGAAGCCATAGAGATAAGGAGACGTGGATGGATTTAGGTACACCAACATACAACAATGGCAAAAGATATCAGCAGAATCATCAGCCCGTTATTAGGAAATACAGACCACACTGCAAAAATAGCATAGAATTGGCAAAAGAACTAAAGGAAATTACAATAGAAGACAACGACATACTCATCTCACATGACGTCACATCTCTGTTCACAAAAACACCAACCCAAAAAACCATAGACATAGTAGTTAACAGAATCAGACAAGACAAAACTTTACATAAAAGGACAAACCTCACAGCAGATGACATAGCACAACTGATAGGACTGGTAGCTAACTCCACTTACTTCACATACGACAACACAATATACAAACAACTGGAAGGCTTCGCCATGGGTAACCCGTTATCAGCCACCCTGTGCGAGTTTTTCATGGAAGACCTGGAACAAAAAGCCATAGCCACCGCCCCCCCAAACTGCAAAATAAAACTATGGAAACGCTACGTAGACGACATACTGGAAATCATACCAAAAGGTCAAACAGAAACACTAACACAACACTTAAACAATATTGACGACACGGGCAACATAAAATTCACTTATGAGTTAGAAACAGAAGGCAGCATAGCATTTATGGACATGAAAATCACCAGGCAGACCGACGGGACCCTAAACATAAACACATACAGGAAACCAACACACACAGACCAATATCTATTATGGACATCAGAACACCCCACCATACACAAAATGTCAGTAATCAGAACATTATATCACCGAGCAAACATAATAACAGAAGAGAGAGACCGTAAACAAGAGGACAAACACATACAACACGCTTTAAAGACCTGCAGATACCCGACATGGGCAATAAACAAAGGAAAACAACAAACAAAAACAGAAAGCAAAGAACAACCCAAAAAAAGAACCAGAAACCCAGAAAGACAAGAACCAAAACCAGTGATAACCCTACCATACATCAGAGGCATAACGGAAAAAATAAGAGCAACAATGAAAAAACACAACATAAACACACCAACAAAGCCATACACAACAGTTAGAAACAGATTAGTACACCCAAAAGACAAAATATCAGCTGGACAAAAATGTGGAGTCATCTACGAAATCCCATGCAAAATATGCAATAAAACATACATAGGAGAAACCGGACGCCAACTCAATACACGGACAATAGAACACAGAAAGGAGTGCGAGAAAGAGGCAAATCGTAAACACACAAGAGCAGCAAAAGAAGAAGCAGAAAGTACAATAAAAAAGTCAGCCGTAACAGATCATTGCTTAAGAGAAAACCATATAATGGACTGGGACAGCACACGGATCATAACCACTGAACAACAAAAATACAAAAGATGGATCAAGGAAGCAATAGAGATAAGGAGACGTGGATGTGGGACCATGAACAGGGACGACGGAGTTTACACGCTGGACCACGCATGGGACTGCATCGTCGGAGAGGGGAGAGCGGGCAGTAGAGGGCGACAACGTCCTCTGCTGCCCGCAGATAAACGGAGAAGGAAGTGACGCGCCACCATCAGCGTCAGCCTGAAGAAGCCGGCAGCTGTCGGCGAAACCGTAGCTACAAACAGGTAAACAAAACTGTTTCTGTGTTTAAAAAAGAACGAAAGCATGGATTTACAAAGACACAGCAAGAACACACCTAAGATATACAATCTTGTACTATATTGTACCATATCCAATGTATATTAACACCAGTTTCATTTTACACAGAACTGATTAACAGTGTTGTTTTTGGATTGTTGTAATTGTTGCTATTTTTTGTTGTTATAGTTGTTGCTGTCATAGTCGTCATTTTAACCGGGGACGCCGGGGACATGTCCCCGGCAAAATTTGTGATTGGCAGCTGTGTCCCCCCCACTTTCAAAAAAGCCTGCTGATGAGGATTTTTGTTTTACCAGCTCAGATCTTATACCAGGGGTCGGCAACCTGTTCCAATCAAAGAGCCATTATTACCCGTTTCCCACAGTAAAGAAAACACTGGGAGCCACAGCGGCCGCATCGTTGTGGGCGGGGCCTACCCTCAGACAGCAGAGAGCTGCTCACAACCAGGTGACAGCAGCCGGTACCATGGGCGTCGCACCCGTGGGGGATGCAACACCCACACTTTTCCAGCTGTTTTGCTCACCTCCACACCAGTCTGGATTCTTTAGGTCGCACTCACTCTGTTTGCCTCATCTCCTTCTTCACCTCCCCTATTCTGACAGCCGATGTCGGGTTCAAGGAGAGCAGGAGAGGGAGGGACGGAAGAGCTCGACTGAATTCATAATTTTACATCTTGACATTAGCTGTACAAAGTCTGAGTTTGATCAAGTGAAGAACACCAATCTGCAGAGGTTTATAACAGGCGCAGCGCCAGGTTTTCATTTTTGGGTGGGCCACGGTAATTTTGGACGGACCTTAATAAGCAGTGACTTAAGTGAAGCAGGCAGGTCGCGCTAGAAATTTTTGTTTTAAAAGACGTCATAAATGTGTTCCCCCGTCATTTTTATTTCTAAAATATGAAGTAAAAACTCCCAATTTAATTTTCATTCATTTGTCATTAATATTTAGTCTACACCCGTGCGTTAAGTGGACCATCTTCCAGTAAAAGCAAAGCATCCGGCCCACCTCTCCAAATGCGTAAAATATGCATCACAGCCACTAGGCGCACCGCGGGCACCGTCAGCTACGTCAGTCCAGACAAGAGCAGAGCAATTAGAGAAAGAATAGAGGATAATTGTCTGGATGTGGATGGAGATTACATTTTACAGCAGCCTGATCATCATTTAAATACGTAAACCATCACCTGTCTTCTAGTCCACGCTATCAGCATTATTTTAATTTGTGTGTGTGTGTGTGTGTGTGTGTGTTTTCCACTTCAAACACTGGTCTAACCAACCAGACCAGCATGTCCAGTAACTTATTAATGTTACAATTAAACAGTTTCACTTCATGTAGGCTAGGAACATTTCACCTGCCGTGGCCCGACCGCTTCTGCTCCACATGAACTTTGTGCGTGATCAAATATCTCTACAGGTGTTTTCTGAGCTGAAGAGACTATTCTGCCTCAGACTGGATGCATCATGCGTCTCCATATTAGAGATGGGAACAAGCGCTATTCAGCCAAACTTTCATAATTTCATAAAAATAACATTTTCCAAGTGACACATCCCTCAGAGAGACCGGGTTTCCAGAACGCTTCAGTGGGAGGAAATCAACCAACATCCTTGAGTTTATCCGTCAAAATAAACAGTCAAATGGAAATATCTGTAACCTGTCATTTAACTGTTTTGCCTTCCTGTGAAGATTGTTGCAAAGAGAAACAACTAAACCTGATTAACCCCAGAGCCACGCGCACTGCACTGTTCTGACTGTAAATGAGGAGGAAACGATTTAATCAGATCCTTTTCTTTTCAACATGGTTTAATGTAAAGTTTCACTCAGTACAAACTTTAGTTACACCAATCTAACGAGACAGAGCCTGGATTTGTATTCTGAACAGTTTAAACATGTTTAAAATGGAGACATGCGTGACGCGTCTAAAATTCACACCTGCTCCGCTATTATGGAAATTAAAATAACAAGATGAATAACATGAACTTATTTTAGGCACAGACAACATCCCCACACTTTTGAAAAGCTTGCAACGCACCTGGTCGCTCGTGTACGTCAAAGTTATCTTTCATAAAAAGATAATCAATAAAACGATTAAATAAAGTGGATCCAGAAGCTGTAGCCCGTCTCTGCCTTCAATATTCACACTGTTGGTGGTTGTACTGAGCAGGTGCCACTTTTGTCATATGTTTCTTTTTAAAACATGTTTAGACTGTTCAGAATACAAATCCAGGCTCTGTCACGTTTGATTGTTGTAATTAAACTTTGTAGGTGGGGAAGGTCAGAAAGCAGCTCAGAAGCGCATGATTTCGCACAAGCGTGACGCGTCAACCCGGTCTCACAGACCGGGTTGGACCTGTTCAGGTTTACGCAGACAATCTTTACATTTAGAATTGGCATACAGATGTAAAATTAATGCAGTAAAATATAAAGCATTTTATTTAAATATCCATTCATTATTTTACAAGCACAGAGAGCGCATCAGATGGATGGAGGAGCCGCATGCGGCTCCAGAGCCGCGGGTTGCCGTCCCCTGTGCTAGCCTACTTTATTGTCCCCAGCAATTTTTAAGCCCCACTCAAGTGTATGGTTATTGTCCCCAGCAATTCTGAAAACAAACTGACGCCCTTGGTTGCTGTTTATTATTGTAAAATTGATGTTTGAATTATTTTTTTATTCTTTATTCTTTGGGGATTTATTGTTTATTTTCCCCATCCATTCTGCACTCCAGTAGGTGTCGTGAGTGCGCAAGTTGCTTGCCAACTGATGAGCTGACTGGAAAAGGAGGCGACAGGCTCAACATCACGGGAAAAAAAAGAAACTAGGCACACAAGCCCTTTCACTTTCATTTCCCCTTTGTGACTGTGTTGACAGTGACCATCGTGGTGTCTATTGTGGGTAAGAGAATTACATTAAATTACAACGTTAGCTAGATAACGTTTAAGGTAATTATTGCTAACTACCCTACATTTAGCAGAAGAGAGAAGATAACTTGCAGTCGCGTGCAAAAGTGCCTTTTATGAAAGGCAACGTAACACCGCCTGAAACTTTTCATTTCATTTTCGTCTTGTGATTTCATCGTGGTGCCTGTTGTAGGTAAGATAATTACATTAAATGAGATTGTTAGCTAACTAACATTTAAGCTAAATATGCGCGCGTGCGAAAGTGCATTTTATTAAAGTTAATATGTTACAACTCAGCAGAATAGACATTAACATCGTAACGTAATACCGCATGAGACTTTTCACTTTGATTTCCCTGTTGTGATTTAATCGTGGTGCCCATTGTAGGTAAGAGAATTACACGAAATGAGAACTTTAGCTAACAAACGTTTAAGCTAACTATGCGCTCGCGCGCGAAACTGCCTTTAATGATCTGTGATAAGTTCAAGGTTTGTGAGTTACAACACTTTTTGAGCCAACAAAGGCTTCATGTCCTGGACCGCCATCTTAAATGCTTCCTTATGTGGCCCCACTTACTTCAATTACCATCTTTAATGGAAAAAATAATTCTAATGTGACACTCAGTTTTGATAATGATTGCTGTCTCTTTCGTTTCAGCCCATTTATGGACGTCTTTGTGGCCAACAAACTGAGTGAGTGGCAGCTATCAGAGCTAACAAACAGTTTTAAAGGTGAGTGTATTGACTGGACAGATTTGTATATGATGCAAAAGTAAATTAATTTCAGGAATTCAACTAAAAAGGAGATGCTAACAGGGTTTTTCCTGGCTCAAGTTGAGGCAGAGGTGGTACCATCCTGACCATGCGCCAGCACATGCGTACTCTGTGCATTCAACTGCCTCACTTTTTTAAAGGCAAAATATTATAAAAGGCTCAATAATATGCATTAGATTGGCGTTTAGTTCCCTTTTTCCCATCTGATATTTATAGTTGAAATTATTTTTTAATAGTTGACCTACATTTCAGTAACATTTTAGGTTTGTATTAATAACACTCATCTTAGTCAAAATAACACATAAATGTATCCAGTAAAATATAATGCATTTCATGCATTTGTATTAGAAATGGTAATAACATTTAATTTCTGCTGCTAACAATGTAATGGTGGGATGTCTATTATGTACAGGTTAGGGTTGGCCCCCAAAATGCCTTGAAACGGCCCTGGGTGTGTGACTGAGTTTTGAAGTTGATCTGAATTGTATCACATGTAGAAATATTACATGTGTATAACTTAGTGTTTTATACAGGTAAAAACGTGTAGTGGAGATAAACCTACCTACATTTTACTTTCAAGCTTTGTTTTCTTGTTTTTATTTATCTATTTCCTGTCCTGTCTGTCTCTCATCTTCCTGCATCTCCTCTAAACTCTCCAGATAAACTGCAGCCTGGATTTTTACTTTTTCACCTTATCAGTTACTTCTGAGCAGATCAAAGGGATCTCCTGACTGCAAAGTGGAGAGCGCATTTCGATGCTGCGTCAGTGAGGTGAAATCACCGCAGCACACAATGAGCGGAGCGCGTCAGGAACAATTAAAAGACAGAATACCAGAGGATATGAACAGATATGAACGATCATGTGTTAATAATAATGTTTTGTTGCACCACCTTGAGAATGTATCATGTGCCGGACGCAGCGGGCGCACCAACGATCAGCGCTCTGCATCCTCTCCGCTCAACAGAATCCCGCTACGCTGAGAGTCCATAAATACTGTAATATAGGCAGAAACTGGATCTTTCCCTGAAAGATATCTAGACCCCATAACTCGATCCCTGCCCCTGGATGAAAAACCGGACATTTTGATCAATGTAGGACCCCCCACCCCCCCTTTTGGTTCTTTTTGCTTTATCTTCCAGATTAAGATATAGACGAGGAGTCATTTCTCCTCTTAGATGAGGACACCATCAAACAACTCATCCCCAAAATTGGACCCAGAGTCAAGTTCTTAAAACAGTATAGAGAATTTGTAAGTTATCACTAGAGTCAAACAGGCTCAACATTCTCAAGGGACATGGCTTATACATGCTTTACAGTTTTTTTCAATTGTTTAAACTCAAAAAGCAAAAATGAGGCACAATTTTCACAACCTCTACTTCTGTTCCCAATCGCTTGACTCAATTTATCTCTACTTAAGATTTCCTTATATCAGAACTCTGATTGTCCTCCTTTACACTCTGATGTCAATTTCACATCACCTTGCTGTCAAAACACAGCACACAATTTTCAGGTTTACACACACTTCTCACATAAATTCTCAAAGCTTCAATCAACAACACACAAATATTCAAATCTCTAAACTTCCGGGTCTGGCGAGCAATTTGCAATTAGGGACTGCAGCATAAAAGTAAGTTTCCACAAGGCTACCCAGGTGTATGAGTGGTTTCAGGACCACCCACGGTTTTCCATTTTATACCTTCCACCTTATTCCCCCTTCCTCAATCCCACTGAGGAGTTTTTCTCAGCCTGGAGGTGGAAGGTGTACAAAAGGAATCCACTGAGCCAGGTCCCACTGCTTCAAGCCATGGAGGAGGCTTGTAGAGATGTGGCCTTTAAGGCCTGTCAGGGCTTCATGAGGCACTCGAGGCGGTACTTCCAGCGCTGTTTGGACCAGGAGGACATCGCCTGTGAGGTGGATGAGGCCCTCTGGCCAGACAGAGACTGGAGGCATGATGCCCCATGATTATGCTTGGATGGGAGAGGGGGTGGAGGGTTAACTGTAAAAATAAAATGTTTTGTCTCAAAATTTGTGTGATGTCTGCTCAGATGCATTTTGCTCAGAGAGAAGTGGGCACTGTCATACATTCAGTGTGTAATTCATTGTGTTCCATTTAGACAATTGTGTTTTCAGTTTTGCCCTTCGAGGGCCGGCTTTGCAGACAGGCGACACAGGCGGCCGCCTGGGGCGCCATCTGATGGATAGGGCGCAAAAAAAAAAGTTGATTAAATTTATGTTTGTTATATGAAATGCACTCTCTACATACTCAAAATTCCCCTTTGAAATGACATGAAATTAAAACATCAATATTTAAATTCTAATGATCTGGCTGCATGACGAGCTCCCGCTTGGGCCACCGCTCCGATGCATTTGACCGTTAAGGGTGCCGTAGATCACATGCGTGGGTAGCACTGTAGAAGGACATCCTGTTGTCGCGTTTAAACTTTTGATATCTTTTACGATGAAAAGAACACCTAAGCCATCGGGATCAGCATTCCCAAAGTGAAGGAAGGAGGAAGAATAAAAACGGGCCCAAAGCAGAGGTCTGTAGACTTTATAAATTTGGCAAAGGAACTTTTTGAGTTACCATTGTAGCTAACTGCCTCTCCTGCCACGCACGGTCCACGGACGGACCCTCGCTAGCTGTTTACATTCACAATACAGTATCTCATAACTTTAACCAATTAATTTTACTTTTGAATCGTCGTGTCCAGATGCAGTGAGACAATATCTGCAGCCACACAGGCACCTGTTGACACCACAGGGGGGGGGGGGGGGGGGGGCTGTCTTCTACACCCGTTGAGTCTCACTGTGATGATGAAGAATGTAAGATTTAATTTTACCATTTTTTTTTAGTATGATTGCAGCCTTTTTATGAACTTCGATTCAAGTTTTAAGTACACATACAATATGAATTTAATATTTTCATATCAGAAGAACGTTAGGTGTGGGTGTAGCAAAATTTCAACTTTGTCCGACACATCGGGCGGGCGGCACCGCCGTGGCCGTGGTGGGGACTCCCCAGCTGCCGCCGGTCCCGCCGGGGAGTGAGAACTGCCTAAACACAGCATGACATCTTATGCCGTCTGTTTCTTGTTTATGCTGCAGCGTCTTCTATCCAAGCATCAAGCAGCAGCAGCACATTTACTGAGCTACAATCTCAGCATCTAGAACCAGGTGAGTAAGTTTCTTGTTAGGCTATTTGTAATCAGCAGTAGAAACAGACTTTTTCAAATTAAACGGCTTATCACATATATCGATATGCAAAATTAATTTCTTTAAATCCACACCAACCAGACGTGTTTTTTGAGTGCAGCATTGATTTAGCATTGAGAATATTAAATAATCTGAACATACACATCTGAAATTGTCTCCTTAAGATGTTACTGTCAGTTAGGCTGTAAATTTGTAAAAAAAAAAAAGAAAAAAAAAAGATGGACGTTAGTTTTTGTGACATAGTGAGTGATCTTCAAGGTATAAAGGTTTATGCCTTGAAGGAGGTCGTACCGAATCGCGTCGGCGTTTCCTTGTTTAATAAATGAAATCCTCAGAGTGCCTCAGATCACCGGTTCTTCTTCCTCATATTCTACAATTTATTGATGCTGAAGAGCACCTGAGAGTGAGACATACGTTTTTTCAACTATTCCCCATGGATTCTCTCACTTCCACCTGTTTTTGATCATTTTATTCATGTTTTCATAGAACAGATTAAAAAAGATCAATAAAATAAAAAGTCCAGTAACATTAAAAATAATGAAAAGCATCACTGCACATGACTGAGGAGTACTGAATGTGAAAGTGGCACTGTTCTTGTGTGTGTGTGTGTGTGTGTGTGTGTGTGTGTGTGTGTGTGTGTGTGTTTATTTTCTCACAGAAAAAGAGCCCAACACCAGCAGACTCAGTGCTCCAATCCAACAGCCTGAAGAGACATCATCATCAGCTTCAACAGATGTCTGTGAACATGTATGACCTGCTGGCCCCATGGATCCTGCTGACTGGCCACAGCAGTTGAACAAAATGGAAAGTAGAACTTTCTTTATGATGACACTGATATTTGAGTTTTGCTTTTGATTGCAGTTTAATGCTGCTTTTGATTTTGCATTCCCCCCCCCCCCCCCCCCCCCCCCCCCCCATGACATTTGCACAACATATTGAGTTGGTGGTTATTGTAATATTCTCAGGTTACATTTCTTTCAAGCTTACATTTATTCTTCAGGCTGTTTACTATAAAGAGTTGCTGTGTGAATATTTAAAATAAAAAGTTAGAGGCGTGCAGGCACTGGGGGTGGGGGGCAAATGGGCACTCTCGCCTTGGGCACCAAATCACCTAGAGCCGGCCTGTGCTCTTCAGTGCTCTGTCCATGCTTGATAGTGTTCACCCAAAGGCTACTTGTGTTTAAGCAATGAATGGTATGTGTATGTCATGTGAAAATGTGGCTGTGTTTACCAAATGAAAACACGTGTTCCATTTTGGGAACGTGTTACGATATGTGATGGCAGGGTTTTGTTGCAAAGGGAAGCCACGGTTTAGGAATTTGTGTGTTATGTTTGGGGTTCTGTGTGTGCAGTTTTGAAAAACGCATTTTAGCAATTGAAAAAAACTGTAAGTGCAAAAAGCTAATTCTTGGTGATGTCAAGTGTCTCTTTTCACATTTACGCATAGGACACAATATCAACAGTTCATCCACCAATTTCAGTGTTGTGAAGAAGGTTGTAATAGAAAATTGTCTTTCATTCGATCTTCACAAACGAAATGAACATGAACAAGTGCTGCCAGTTTACATACCCAGTCATGCTTATAATGATCGTAATACTGAAGAGATAGTACAGCAAGTTGAACTGGGGGAAAGTAGTGATGATGATGATGATGATGATGATGAATGGGATGAATTGACACAAGAGGCAATCATTGACAGAGTAGCACTTTTTATATCTAATCTGAAATCCAAATCCTCTCAGACATTCTCAAGAATTAACATTGTAGTTCAGCAAACCTCAAGTTTAATAGGATATTTGGTGGGCAGGCTACAAACAAAGACCATGTTGTTGTTCAGTCAGTTTGGGCATGATCAAAGCCCACAGGTAGAGGAGCTCAGACAGGAGTTTTCAGATGCAGCTTTCCCTTTCAAGGGACTGGAGACAGACTATAAACAAATGAAGTATTTCACCAACACTGGGAACTTCATTCAGCCAATAGAGGAGTCATTTCCAAATTGCCAAACCTTTGTACAGCGGAGCAACTCTGCCACTGGCAATGTGAGACAAGTTCTTGTGACTGATAACTTTCAGCGTTTCCACTCAAACAACTTCTGGTCAAGATCTCTGAACTTCCTGGAATTTTACAGGCCATGATGGAATGGCAACAGAAAGAGAAGGATAGTCTTCAGGATATATTTGATGGACATTTTTGTAAAACTCTTCCACTCTTTATAAAAGAGGTGTCAATCCCATTACTGTTAAATAATAATTGTGAAACTGTCAACCCCTTTGGATCACAGACTGGGATTCACAAGTTAGGACTCATATACATGATTTTGAACAGTTTGCCATAAAACCTCCTGTCCAGTCTGCAGTCACACTTCCTGTTAGCAGTGTATGAATCAGATGATGCAAAGACCTATGGCATTGATTCAGTTTTACGACCCATAGTGGAAGAACTTGGATGTCTTGAGAGGGATGGCATCACTGTTGATACATCTAACTTTCAGGGTGTTGTGAAATTCTCAGTTGTCCAGGTAGTGGGGGACAATTTGGGTTTGAATGATGATCTTGGCTACATAGAGAGTTTCACAGGAAACCATGTCTGTCGCTTGTGCAGAGTGCACCGACATGTCTTGAAAGAACAGACGCGAGAAGATCCTACATTGTTACGTGATGTTAATACTCACAAGGCAGATTTGTTGACAGACAACCCCTCTCAGACAGGCCTTAAAAGAGACAGCATCCTCAACAGGCTGTCTTTTTATCATGTGACAGACAATACAGCTCTTGACATAATGCATGACATTCTGGAAGGTATTGGGCCATATGAAGTTAAGCTTCTGCTGAATTCACTCATACAGCAAAAACACACTAGATACACTAAACTACCGAATCACAAGCTTTGATTATGGCTTTTCTGACAAATGCAACAATCAATCAATCAATCAATCAATCAACCAATACATTATCAATCCCAGAGGGAAATTAGAGTTTCAGTACACACAATTCAGAGATCAGACATTCACGGGCAAGACACATGACAAGAATTGGTGACTGTGGTCATTCGCAACCCGAGTCGCGCTACCTTAATAGAGATAAAGGGTTACATAAGGATTGGTTCAGGTGGAGGGGAAAAAAGGCACTTCACAGTTACCCTCCCACCAGGAGGGCAGCTTTGCTCTGCCAAAAAAAAAAACCTCAACAAATATGCAACAGACTTCAGACAACACAACATAACATGAGATTCCAATAGGAGGGGGGATCCTGTTTCCAACCAGACATCCTCCCACTCCAATCAGGAGAAATCCAGTGATCATCAGGCCGAATATCCACACGTCTTCAATATCCTCAATGGACAGCTGGCTGAAGCATATGATCTTCCACTCCTTCCAGGAATCCAGCACATATCCCACCGGGTGTGTCCCCTGTGGACATGTGGGAGCCCCCTGCTCCGTTGTCATTGTTGAAAAAATCTTATCAATCACATTGAATGACCAGTTTATCAAATCCATGGTTAGTTAAAATAGGGTTTTTCAGAAGAAATGCAGAGAAGCACTCTGTGGGCAGACAGGACAAAGAGCCTTGGGAATAAAAGATAAGGGAACAAAAGAGAGAAGCGTCTGTACTCCTCGAGTGCCTTGAAGAAGAAAAAAACAAAAGCCATCCATTATTGGTAAAGCTGATCGAAAAAACTCTAAACACCCCTGCGTCAATCTGCAGTACAAATGTGGTGTCTACTGAGACTGCTTCCACTCATGATCGGTGATCTTGTCCCTAATGACAACCAGGAATGGCAACTTTTTCTGCTATTACTGATGTGCATGGAAATAATCTTCTCTCCATCTGTGACCCCAGCAGCTACGCGATACCTGAGTGAAATTATAGAAGAGCATCACTCTCTGTTCATGGAACTTTTTTCTCAGACTTTGCGTACAAAACACCACTTCATGATCCACTATCCCAGAGCCATCAGAAAGCTTGGACCACTGATTCATTTGTGGGTAATGAGGTTTGAGGCTAAACATGGTTTCTTTAATCAAGTGAGTCATATCACTTGCAACTTCCGGAACATTTTCAAAACCATGGCCTATAGACATCAGATAATGCAATGCTACGGTTTCATGAGTGGGTCAGTGTTAAGCCACAGCACAGAAGTTGGTCCTGGGTACACTACACTACCTTTCTGGCCAATCTTGATTGTTTTAAAGACATACAATGTGGTCTGACAGGAATTCCCCTTTTCACTGAGCTGTATGTACCAGTCAGGGTCACAGTTAAGGGTACTACATACAGACCAGGCATGACCGTGTTCATGTCCAACGACCAAGATGGAGAACCTCAGCTTGGGCTGATAAAAGTACTTTTGGTCTTGGAGCACACGGTCAAACTAGTTGTTCAGAAGTGGGAGACATTGTGTTTTGAGAAGCATTTTTTCTCTTATCGTGTGCTGCAAACCAAAGATTTGTTGACTATTGATGTAAAAGAGCTGCTCGACCATCACCCACTACATGCAGTCCAGTCATACAGAGATGACACTATGTACGTCTCTCTCCACTACAGAAAGTTTTAGGGAGAAATTAGGCATAGCGCTGGGGAACATAACTGTATATAGAAAAGTAAATAATACCAATGCTCTTCTTTTAAAGTTGTCATTTTTGTAAATATTATTTTTTATGATCTGTAGATTTTTGTTATTGTAGGAAAGTCAAACTATCTTTTATTACTGATGAGCAAATGTTGGCAATGTCAAATGTAAAAACTGGATAGGTACACCTTTTAGATAGATGGACAATCAGGTGCTGCCACTTGTAATATACTGAAGAGAAAAGACTGCCTTGTGAAACTTGAAACATTTTGGACTGGTTGGAAGGCAAACTACTTGGACAAGATGAAGTTATTGATGTTGTAGAGTGGTTAACTACATTCTAGAATTAACGCTGTTTGCTATCAGCTTTGTTAGATTCTGAGAAAAGCTCAAACAAGTTAACAATGAAGCTTCTATCACATTTAAATATCTAGGATAATATATATTCGATAGCAGTTCATATGCCAGCGAGGTTGGTCTATTTTTAATCCAAAGATTAATGTTTAATTTAAGATAATTAAATTTAATAGCAAAAGTTTATTTATTTAATCAGACGTTTAAAGGAATCTTTGCTTTTTCAATAACCAAAAATATACACCATTCTGTGTTTAATTTCAAAGAAGAGTCAGGTTTTTAAAGTTAAGAATTTATTACTAACACTTTTAACAATGACAATTTGAAGTGACAATTTAGAAATGACAATTTTTTAACAGACAATTTGATATTAAAACTTGTTTTAAAAAGCAAACCTGTGACTGATTGGAAGCTAAAATGAAATGTGAGTTTTTGGATGCGTGAATGAATCTCAGAAGGTTTCTTTCAGCGAGAGAAGCGTTCTGGGTGAAAAGTTGGTTTTGCAGCTAACTAAGTTGGTTTTATAGAAAACAGCATACAGACACAATCTGTCGAAAGTACCTCACCCAGATCAGGAGACCCTCTTCTGTATCCGAGATGTCAGGTGGAGATGATGTCCTCCGGGCACGAGGTTGGTAGAAGGACCTTAGTGCGATCAAATCGGTCCTGAGATGTCTCCGGGGGTCACTCGGCTGGTTAAACTATTTGCGTCTCAAAATCAATAACTCTGAAGGAGTTTTGCGTCAGCTGGAAACAGGTGCATCTATTCGGAGCAATTCTATCAGCGTGACAGAATGCTTAGTGAGGCTGGGGCGGCCGACCCTTGTCCTCTGATGGGTTCAAGAACTGACTTTTTGCTGCGGAGATTTTGGTTTTAACAAAACCCTCAGAACACGCCCTCTCAGTGTCAGAAAGCTTGGTCATGAAGTAAAGACG